GATTGGGGAGGGAATAGTTCCCTCACACCGTGCGATCGCTACGGTGGGGGGTCAAAGTGGCGCCAAAGGCTTCCCAAAAGCGCCGCCATGGCGACAGTGGCTCAAGCTCCACCGGCGTGCGGGAATGGCGTGGTGCTTTGCGGCATAGGCCGATTCGTGTGCGCGCGTGGGCGACACAACGCCCAACGGGCATGTTGGGCAGGTCGAGGGTCCTCCAGGCCTCCGGTGGCTTTAGCCATGGCGGCGGCTTCCCGAGCACGACGGCGGCGTCGATGAGGCGGCTACGACCCCGGAGAAGTGTCACGGTGGGGGCGTGTAAGTTTCTACGGGTTCATGGGGCCACGGCGAGGACGTTCAGGCTCAAAGGCGGGGCTCGGATTCTCATGTGGCCGGTAGGGGCTTCTCGGCGGCCACGGCGGTCATGAAGACGACAGCGAGGCGCACGGGTGAACCACGGGGCTCCAACGGGGTGGTCACGGTGGGGTCATAGACGTGTGCGTGGGTGCATGTGTTCCCAGCGACCGGAGACGACCCTAGCCTATGCGCTCCAGGTGTGGAGCGCCATGGCTGACAAGGTGAGGTTCGGCGGCGGGCAGAGAAAGACCGGAAGGGGGCTCACCGTGGGTGTTGTGGAAGAGGGGATAGCGGTGCGGTGACGAGTTGCAGCCGTGTAGCTCCGGAAGCAGTGCCGTGCCGACCCTCGACCGTGACGAGGACGGCGGTGTCGTCCTCCGCTGCGGCAACTCCGACGACGTCGGGCGCTCCCTCTTCTTCCTCCCGCTCCCTTCCTTCTTCTTCTCTTGGCTCTCTCTCTTGGCTCGGGTGCGCAGTGGACGGCCACCAGGTGGCGGCGGGCGACGGGACGAGCGCTAGGGTGAAAGATTCTTGTTTGGTTTTGGTAATTGAGTGACAATCTAGGTGGACTAATTGTGTTTATGTGAGATACACAGGTAATTAGTCCACAGGTACATGTGTATGAGCAACATATGCCATGGAGGTGAAAATGGCTTGGAGATGTTGCAAAGCTCACACATGTGATGATGAAGGAGCTTATTGCACATGAGACATGACATTGAGTCATGTGATCAAGGTGGAGAAGATCAAGACAAGACTTGGCTTGATGGACCGGTTGCAAGCGTGAAGGGCAAGTCGAAGGCTTTGGAGTGATGGACCGCGTGGCGGTGAAGCTTGAGCAAGACTTGGCGCCGATGGACGATGGCAACGGTGAAGGGCAAGTGAAGTCAAGATCGATGAACCAATATGATCATGTGATGATATGAAGTGGATCATATCATTGTTGATAGTGTTGGTGCATGTGTTGCATCGACATTGGAGGAGATGGAATGAAATGCATGAGGCAAAGGTATAACCTAGGGCTTTTCATTTCACCGGTCATAGGTGTGTAGAGAAGTTTATGACCGGGTTTAGGATAGATGGCCAGTATTATCAAGAGGGGCAAAATTGTTTGCATATCGGTCATCTAGTGCCACTCGAGTGATCTAACTTTGCATTGTCGCTAGGATCGAGTGGCGTGGCAAGTTGAGTGGCTAACATCCTTTGGGAAATGATTGTGAAAATGCTAACACACATACACATGGTGGTGTACACTTGGTGGTGTTGGCACATTTACAAAGGAGGTGGTGTTTGCGGGGGTGAGATGGGTTTGGGTCCCTCTCTCGCAAGCTCGGCGGGATTCGCGCTTTTCGGGAAAATAGAATGCCTATTTTCTATTGCGCCGAGATGCAAGTTCTTGTGGTTAGCACATTGGAGCAAGGGTGATGAAGTTAGAAGTGAAAACGAGTTAGTCGCGAAGATCTTTGGCGTCGGTCAACCGACCGGACGCCGATCTGAATGCACCGGACGCCGGCAGGCGCGCTGCGTCCGCCGGTAACGTCGATGACGCAGAAAGGCTGGAGTGTGACCGGGACGCGTCCGGTCGAGGTCGGTACTTTCTTGAAACGACCGGACGCCGGGGTTTAGCGTCCGGTCGGTTGAAAGCTTGCGCGCTGGTCGGTCAGTCAAGTGACCGTTGAATCGTGGACGCGGGTGGCGTCTGCGGCGCGACCGACGCCGAGGTCCAACATCCGGTCAACACGATCGGAGCGTCCGGGCGGCCCGACCATTGCCCAGATGAAGGGGTAACGGCTAGTTTAGCCCTTGGGGCTATAAATAGAAGTGGCCCTCGGCCATGGCTGTCTTGAGCACCTCAAGGGACTTAGTGTCCATGCTTGTGAGTGCTTGGGAGCCCTCCATCACACACATACTTGATAGCGATCATCCGATTGTGTGAGTGAGCGATTCTAGTACGATTGCATCGTGAGGTTGCATCGAGTGGCACTAGGTGGTCGAGTTGCGAGCCGGTGGTGCTTGTTACTCTTGGAGGTTGCCACCTCCTAGACGGCTTGGTGGTGGTCTCCGTCGAAGCACGCAAGAAGCTTGTGAGGCGCTCCGGAGAAGTGCTTGTGAGGGGCATTGTGCTGCATGCCGGAGCCCATGAAGAGCAACTCTAGTAAAGCGTGTCATTGAGCTACCCTCACTCAAGGGGTAGGTTCTTGCGGTGCCCGACGTGCGGGCTTAGCGGGTGATGATGCTATTAGCCACCCGAACCACCAAGTGAGCGGTCAACACAACGGGGACTAGCGTGTTGGCAAACACGTGAACCTCGGGAGAAAAATCATCGTGTCAACCTTATTCTTCCCGTTGGTTTGCATCCCCATTACACAAGCTTACAATTACTTATATATATATATATCTTAAGCTTGTGTAGTTGCTCTTGTAATTAGATAGCTTGTGTAGCTAGCTAATTACCTTCTTGCTTGTGTAGCATAGAAGTAGCTCCCTTGCGTGGCTAATTTGGTTTTAGTAACCTTGTTAGTCACATTGCTTAGTTTGTGTAGCTAAGTTTTTGCGCTCTCTAATTAGGCGTTGGTTGCCTTGTTATTGAGCATTGCTAGTGAGTTTAGTTAGCTTTATGCTTTTGCTTACTAGCATGTGTAGGAGCTCCCTTGTTACTTAAAGTACTAGTGGCATAGGTTTGTGTGACCTTGCTCCTAGAATTGTTTAGGAGAGCTCTAGCTAGCCCGGCACCTTAGTTGCTTTATTAGTATCTTTGCAAGGTGCTAGTGAACATATATAGAGGGGTGTAGTCTTGGCTAGACCGATTGTTTTAATTCCGCATTTATATCGGTTAGCCGACGCGATTAATTTTAGAAAAGACTATTCACCCCCCCTCTAGTCCGCCATCTCGACCCTTCATAGGGCTCCGGGGCTGGGGCTTTTATAGCCGAGCTCGGCCATGGTGCTCGGTGATCGGCGGATGGAGGCCGAGAGGTGATCGGAGACGCACGCTTGCATCCAACGGCGCGCGCGTGGTTGCGTGGGCACGGCGCAAAGGAGACAGGGGCATGCCCCGGGCGTGACCCCCGGGCCCGCCCCCGCCGCCATCTTTGTCGGCGTTTGGTCACATGGTGGTTGAGCACAGCGTGGAGAAGAAGAAACGATGGGGCTGACATGCGGGGGTCCAATGAGCGTGGCGCAAGCGGAGGCGGGAGAGACGCTGCAGGCGTGGGCGACGTCTTGGTGACACATGGGGTCAAGTGGCGGCGGCATGGGCGAAAAGCGACGAGGCGCCGACGGGCGACCGTATTGGGCATGAAATGAGTCATTCTTGGCAGTTAGTTGGGGCGACACCACTCTTGTCTTGTGCGTGGGCGTGGAGAGAGATGTGAAGGGTCAATGGTCGGTTGGGCTTTCGTTAGGCGCGGGCCCGAGCTTATGAGGCCTTCTTCTTCTTTTCTTTTTTTTTTTTTCATTTCTTCTCCATTGTTTGATTTCAAATTTGGTTTAGAATTTGAATTCAAAACTGAGGTAACTTATTCGTTGGAGTTTAGAGAATTTTGTTTAATAATAACTTTATGGTTTATTACTTTAATGAAATTGTTAAGCATAACATAAAACAAATGGAAGTCCAAATCACAACTTGAATTAACAATGTATGTAACACTTTATTTGTTAGAAATTAAATAACATAATCAACAAATGGCATGCCATGCTTATGTGTTGTCTTGGTTGGGTCAAACCTAATGCATCTCTTAGGTTGGGTTTCTATACATGACACTCATCATCACATGGAAGTTTTTGAGAAAAAATTTTGTAGTTGGTATTTTTAGTGTGTAGATTTTTGGGTTGTTATAAATTGAACCCGGGTGGATAGATTCCACCACAAGGAACCTAGATCAGTTCGCTAGAGATGAAGTGAACTACAAATTATTTGGAACAGAGGGATTAGTAAACATTGTTATTTTCATTGACTACTAAATAAAGTCGTATAAGCCCTAACTAGGAAACGATGAGTTAATCTTTTTCAGTTCGTGCTCACAGCTTAGATTGGATGCGCAGCAGGCCGTTCAAGCGGCGACCACACACAGCAGGCTGTTCAGCGGCGACCACACGAAGACAGCGTTGGGCTTTTATTACCCAACAACTGGTACATTACCGGCCCAGAAAAAATAATAAAGAAGCAAAACAAGGATCGATGTCCTAAATCGCTGGCCCGTCGCCCTCTTCGCGTCGGCAAACATCACATGTAGAAAATGAAATGCAGAAATGTAACTATTACCAGAAGGCAGAAGCGTGAGCATGTTTCATTCATATATTCCAATGCTTGTTGGAACATAACAAATATTGGTAGCGCAACATTCCGCGTCAAGTGCATATCAGTTGTGTCGTTTGTTCAAGTGCAAATCAGTTGTGTCGTTTGTGGGACACATCACTTCGACTCCCTCTTGATGTTGCACAGTACAGCAATTTTGTGTCACTCCAGCATCCTCAGGCACCAGTGAAGAAGATACATGCTATCAGTCATCAACATGTATCGGTCCCCATACAATGAATTCGATACCAAATTGCATGTAGTTCACCAGTTTCCATCAAACCCATCCAAAATCATGTGATCATTCAAGCTTGAGCCTTTTGTAGTCTTTTTCATCCTGCTCAGGTCTTCATACAATTTGAGAATGATCCTGGCCCTTTTGGTGCTTCAACGTGTGATCAAGCTGCTGTGCCTTGTGCTCAGGAGCATCATTTTGCTTATAAAATGGTGGAGGATGTTCTTTACTGTCCGGAAAGCCCATGTCTTCAGCAGTTGTTGGTACACCCTGCTTGACATGGTGACCGCTCTCCATTTCTTGGTTAGTGTTTTGAAGATCAGCTGGAGGCATGCTACCTTGGGACAAGTTCTGTCTCTTATCCTGCTTAGCCTTCTCATCCTCAACAGCCAATTCAACACCATGTTCTAGCCCTCTATCAAGAAGATCGTCATCGTCCATCTTTGTTGAAACACCACCTTTCGATTTGCTTTGCTTCTCCAAAGCTGCTTTTACCTTATCCTTGTTGATTTTGTGCACTACATCCATTCTCAAGGTTGACAACCCAGGAGCATCTTTGTCACCAACACTATCTCTTGTTTCATTGGAATTATCATGTGATCGATGTGGTTTATGTTCTTCCGCTAGATTATGAGACTCATAGCTGGCCTTGGAATAATGATGTCCAGGCGAGGACCTTTTGTCATGGTGCAATCTGTCCATACAAGCATCCGATTTAGTTCCACTCCTGTTCTTTACTTTGCTGCCACCATTGTCATTTTGAAGTATTTTGTGGCCAGAAAAATGTTTGTCTGAATTTGAGTGCCCAACGTCATGGTGACCTGGAGCACCTGTTGAGGAAGAATGCTGCAAATTTGACAGCCTGGATACTTGATGACGTCCATGAGCAGATGGTTCCTTGGAGTTTTCTTCAGATTTTACAGATGAATGTTGATTACGCACACCAGCAGCGCTACCTTTGGCTTCACCTCCATGTGATGGTTGTGCCTGCGTAGTACGGTTTTGCTGATACAACTCCAACATTTGGTTGCTAAAATCTGCAATAATGGATGACAAATATGTTTTATTATCAGATGCAACTTGAAACCAAAAGATACTGGCACATGTTAGACCACATTGTTATAATAAACTAATAAATAATAATTATGACAACAAATAAGAATTTCCATGCACTGTCTAGTCAACACTAAACAATACATAGTGAGTAGAACCAGCTTCCAAGAGGACAGAGGCTACTAAATTTCTGATTCTAACAGCTGTAAGGTAGCTGGGACTTCCAGTCAGGTGGTCGTCCTCTTTACCACAATGTTTTATATGTGACAAATCACCAGTAAGAATTAGAAGATGCTCCTTGTTTTTAGAAAAAAATAAACCAGTTACTAATTCCATGTGAAATAGTGCTCTTCCAAAGGTATTGTGTAGCTCTCTTACAAGGTAAATATTAATAAAAAAATGTGTGCACCGTCAAAATCCTATTCATAGACAGATTAAATATACCTAAGAAAGGCAGCAATATACTAATATTGCAAGAGAAAGACACATAGCAACTACAAATATCCAACTGGAACAAGATCATTTCGCAAGAGGGAAAATCAAGCTCCATCGGCAGAACATTATCAGAGCATGTTCAGAACATTGCCTAATGCAAATCTCAAATTTGACCAATGGCCACCCTCTTTGGGCCAAATAACAATATATTGTACTCCCTCCGTACTGGAAAATAAAGTCGTTTTAGGGTGTGGAAGCTTTTGCACAAATGAAGTCGTTTTAGTTGTTTTAACCATCCTTTGGACGCTAATGCCCTCCATTAATTGCACGCCTCCTCATTAGTCGGGGCCCCTTCGGTAGGGGTCCCCTCCCCTCGGCGCCATGCAACGCGAGCCGCCCGCGACCCTTGGGTAGCCGCCGCCAATCACTGCCATGAAAAACTCACTGCAGCAAAAATACCGCGCTAGGGAGGGATCGAACCTTGACCCTCATGCCTCGGGCCTCGCCGTGCTAACCAGTCTAGCTGCAAGCGTTTGTCGTTTGGAAGATACCCACAACCATATTTAATCATGGCAAACAGGGGAAAATACACCCTAATAAATCACTCCTTGGTATGCTAAATCCTGTCCAAAACGACCTTAATTACCAGTATGGAGGGAGTACCTATTTTTATTAGATAGCTTTAAGTTGTTAAGTATATCCTACTTTCCTATGCAACAGAAAAATGAATTGGTTCAAGGATGCTGGCATTTAAATAAAATGGCCGACATGCAATTTATGAAAATTAAATTGTACAATGGATTAAGGTATGAAAAAGTTAAGACAGTAAATTATGGCATAAAATGTATTTCCATCTTAAAAAACAATGATGACAAAAAATAAACCTTGTACTAGGATATAATAAGCTATTGCAATGGAGAAAAATGCCATCCTACTTTAGCCTGAATACAAGTCCAGTGGAGCTGCAGTATGTCAATAACTGCTAGAAGTAAAGAAAGAAGGCACATAGTTATCAAGTGAAGTAACCAGTGGTTCTGTCCTAAGTCAAACAATCTTAAGTTTAACTAAGTTTATACGAAAAAAACAATACTTATGATACCAAATAAATACTATTAAATTCATAATCAAATATATTTCTATAGTAAATCTATTTGGTATCATAAATGTTGATAATTTTCTCTATAAACTTGGTCAAACATAAGATATTATAAAAAAACTCAACCTGCAGGGGGTAAGACAGCCCCTGGGCATTGCATTAAAAAGAAGACCTTCTCACGTATGTTGAGAAAACCCCCAAACCCCTGCCCCACCCATACACAGCGGCACCGTAGCCTATGTGAGAACGACCACGACCGGGGGTGCGCCTTAGACCTGTGCTTTGACATGGGACAGACAAGGAGATTTTTTTAACCCTAACCTGAAAATTTGCTCCCACGAGGAGTCGGGACCTGAGTGCTAATCAAGCCATCTAACCAACTCAACTAGAGGCCCTTATTATGACATGATAAAACCAAAACCAGAAGTAGTACCTATGATGTGTATTCAATACTTCAAAACCAGGAGTTGCACAGGAACAAAATCAATTTGACACACCAGACACATGGTAATAATTCAATCAATAACAGTCAAAACGTATGCACTATGCAGAATGAACAAACAAAATAGGAGCAACTGAAACTCTTTCATCACTGACTTTGAAAACAAGGACCAACCTTCAAGCTGTTGTAGCGTGACACCAAATTCCTGCCACCAAAACTTATCACCTTCAAAAGGGAGCTTCACTTTGAGAAACTTAGCAGCCAAAAAGATAACACCTGCTGCAATATGATGAGGCTCGAATTGCAGGCAAAGCGAAGTACTACTCAGCCTGTACAGTGCACAGCATTAAGTGAAGTACACAACTGGGGACTACAATTTGAAAAGACAGTTAGGGTAGCACTAGCATACCCATCATTTACAAAACTCCAGGCAACCTGAGGAAAATTATTTATATCACCAACATTGAATCTCCTTATTGCTTCAACCAAGGGCTTGTAAGCATGATGAATATTCAGGTCAAACTCGAGTGTTACAAGTACAACTCGCTCCCCAAGTAAAATAAATTCTTTTTGTTTATCAAATAATTCCTGCAAGAGGCAACAGTAAGCACTAATCTCAGTTGAAATAACCCTTACATTGCTTTTTGAGTCAAATATGAATTAGTGCATGCGGAAAATAAAATCTATGCAGATTTAGAAGAAGGAAGAGCAAAATGACAGCACTATCACAATGTTCATGCTAGACACAAAGGAGCATAAAAATCGTTTTCAGGATTAGATTATTCGGCTTAGATAGTATAAGCAACCATAAGCTGATAATGGAAGCATGCAAAGGCAGCTATTGATGACCATCATTTTGTAAGCAGATATTTATTAAGCATCATAAACTGTTAATCATCCCATGACAAAAGTAGATTTCAACTGCTTTCATTGAGATTTAGGAGTGAGATTTGAACCTACATACTAAAATGGAACAAAGATCTAACATTTACTTGCATAAATAGCTATACAATAATATAACTACATCATAGTAGTGTATGACGCAATGAGTAACAAATTTATACTTAAATACATACTAGTTCCAAAGTAAAGTATTCGATAAAAGTTCCCAAGTAAAGTGTATGAAACAATATTAGTTCAACAGTATAACAATCATGCAGGGCACACTAAGTAGTGTCAGGACTTCTGAAACAAAATAAAAAATAACGTAATCCATTACCTTCTGCTGCTTGATTCTCTGACCAGCCGTAGGGTCCTTCTTATGAATAAACTCGTAAGAAATCAGGATGACATCCTTCAAAGGTATGGGTGTTTCTTCAACTTTTCCAGCTAACAACATACAAACTGTGGCGATTATCTGCATGAATATTAGATTTAAAATATTGGCACATATTCTATCTATAGAAACAAAATGCATAACGACACAGTATGAAGAATTCGGTTTCAAACACAGATGCAAAAGGCAAATGAGAAGATTGAGTTTGTCAATCTCTTATCAATAGCGAAGATCCTATTAATAGTCAGGCACAAAAAATGGAAAAAGAAATTTTTTTAATTAAACCAAATTTAAAAGCAAAATGCAATTATATCAATGTATAAGGTAACAGTTACGAACCTACAAGCTGAAGGGAAACTTTACCAACCATTGAAAAACAAAGCTAGAGACAAGCATCAAATGACACTTACTCGTCTATCATTTTTTGCAAGGGATTGGCGAAGGTAAAAACGATGACAGAATACCATAGCTGTAGCAATCGTCAGTTGAGGCCTACAAACAGCAAACAAGTGAGGGGGGCTTTATGAGATTAAAAGGATGAGCTAAAAGGATTTTTTTTTCAGCAAACTTGATAAAAGTTAACAACAGAAGGATTAGCATGAGCAATGCAATTTGCATCAACATTATAAACACTGAGTAAAGTGACATACTTTAGCATTCAACTACCAAGGTCAACCATGTCCAAAAATATAAACACCAGCAACACCTCAATCCATTTTCACATGCCAGACTGTCAAGTACCCGAAATTTAATTATACAACAATAGAAATACAAATTTCTCTCTTCTTATGACAGTATGAACATTTTGGTCAAAACTAAAGTTAATTAATGGGGAAAAAGATAAATATACTACTCCCAGAAACAATTGTAAATCCACACAAATGACTAAGTAAAATGAACAAAAGAATAAATTTGATATAGCAGATATATTTTGAGAAACTTCAACATCATGGAAATATTAAAGTAGCACTTCATTTTAAATCATGTTTCAGAAGTGAAATGCAAAGGTAGCAGACAATATAGAGTAGATCAATGTCTCAATCTTACAATTTAAGCTTCTTCCCCAAATCTTGTAGAAACTTGCAATATGACTTTCGAAGGTTCGACTCTTTCTTCCAATCAATGCCATCCCTTCTGGATGGAGAGTTTTCCTCTAATTCCTTTCTACTGAAATACCATGACGAACCAAGTTTACTGGCTTCCTCACGCCTACCCTGGGTAAATCCATTGGGGCCATTGTCCACAACTCCATGGTATGAAAAATCACTAGGCACCATAGCCATGTAAGTTCGATTATATTCAGCACGAAGTAATGAAGAATTTACTCCTTGGAATCTCAATCACTCTCTGAATAGAGAAGGTATACCTGGTGTTATGACAGTTACCAAGAAATTAAAGGGACGGAATGCACAACCTCACAATGGAACTTCAGAGAAAGGTAAGGAGCGGCATGTGCATTCAAACAGGCAAGCTAAATTCCAAGATTGATTATAAAAGTGGAAATTGATAGAATGGTATGGTTGCCATAACATGATAGACAGCCCAATAGTACACAACCATGCCCACATTTGGTGATGATATATGGTAGTACATGCTATTCAAAATTTAAGAATGGAATGATATAGCTTAAGAGAATCCTACTGTTCATTAAGAAAGAATCCCACTATTTATTAATAATAATAAATCTAAACTCTAATCTAAAGCAATAAAAAATAACTAACTACTGAATCCTAGCATGATCAACTATGCAAAATAATTCATCCTCACCTCCTTTCCAGCATGCCATCCCCACCTCCCACACCCAACATTTCTACCAACTACCTACGTGGCAGAGCAAGAGTCAAACATGATGCAAACTTCATCAAATGGGTTAGGCATTTCATCAAATTGGAAGAAGGCACAAGACCTTTAAGTCAAGGATGACCAACTATAATCATCAAACAATTCATTCATATACATACAAATCGTCATTTGTAGACAACATGGTTTAATCAAGCAACAGATGGAATTATGGAATTTTGATATCGCTGGTCCACGGCAAAGGGATTCTTGTGGAAGGGATCCTTGCACTTTGCCTCGGAGTGGTTTGGCTAAGTATGCAGCTGCGGTCGCTATCCACGGCAGTAACAGAGAACTTCTAGCCCATGGGAACACGTTGATGAAAGCAAAGCAAAATTTCAGATAAATTAAATGCTGTATGTTCAGAAAATCCGAAAAGGATGGTTTGTATCCGAAACATATTCAGCCCCCATGTCTAAGATCACGCTATCGCAAATATATATATATTAATAGTCGATTCGATGCGATTACTAAGTACCAATGCATCAAAACTGAAGCGACTGCATTGCCCAACTGACCTTACAGAAAAATCGCAGTGTCAGATCGAAAAAAATCAATCGAACTCCACCAGCATCTGAACCCTAATCAGGGGAGGGGGGTCGTACCTGGCGGCGTCTGCATGGAAGAGGCCGCGGTACGAGGGGGCGGCCTGAGATGACGCACCCGGCAGCTGCGTGGACGGAGGACGGAGGTGGCCGACGACTCGCGCGCGTGGCCTTGCCTGGGCCTGACGGCTGGACCTTGACGGGAGGGCTGGGATTTTTTTTCTTTATTATAATTATTATATTTTTTAATAAGGGACGGCTCTACCTGTTGGGCGGTGTGGGCGGTGGAAGAGGAACCAGGATCCGCAACTCCAACCAAGGTCTTATCTTAGCCCTCGTCTCATTTTGACGGTTCAAGACGCAAAAAACGCTATCCAACTCATCTCTTATCTGGCCCCTGATAGATGAGGATGCCTCATTCCTCTCTTTTGTCCCCCACATCCGAGGGAGTCCTATCCGAAGCCTCATCCGGCGGAGGGGAGCAACGGCCATCTTCCCGCGCCGCCCCGAAGTTCTCCATGGCGGTATGTCCCCATCCTTCTGTTCTCGTTTTGGTGTCGCCCATGGCCGCCGCCGCTCCCACGCGGAGATCGCCCCTACTTGCTCCCGCAAGGAGGTCGCCCTCTCTTTCTTTGCCAAATTTGCTTTCTTCTCGCCCAGGGCATGAGTTGCTGCCCCCGTCGGAGGTCGCCTCCTGCTTTGCTACTGTTAAATCTGCTGAAGCTCGTGACCTACGCAACCTGTCGGAGCGGCCTCCTGCTCGCGTCCCAAATCTCGACAAGACAATTTTATTTTTTTGAATTTGTTTAATAGGTGAAGAACGATCGGTTGCAGCTTGCCCATTGATGTGTTGGAGGTGTCAATTAGGCCATTTCATTTTTTTTTTTGATTTATTCAATAGGTGAAGAAGGTTCTGAAGCTTATGCGATTCTGAGATGGCCAAAATTACCAGTAGAACTTTTCTAACTTTCATGAGATTGTTTAGACCTATTGAATATTATCTGCTGGATGTAGACATATTAAGGTCTTATTATTTAGTAGTTCAAGTTGATTTTTATGTTCTTAGAATTATTAAAGACAATTCCTATATGCAGGAAAAAAATGCCGAGTTGGGTTGATTTGGTCTCGAGCCAATGGGGACACCAATGATCTATTTTTTGATGACTTTCAAGTTGAAACACATGTTGAACAAGTTGCTGAACAATCAACTCCTTCCTTGAAACCAAGTAAGAAGAGGACTAGAAATTTCACCCCCAGGAAGACAATATGTTGATGACAGCATGGCTAGAAATTAGCTTGGATCCAGTTCAGGGTACTGATCAACCATGTAGTACCTATTGGAAGCGAATTCATGATTACTATCATGAGCACAAGACTTTTGAGTCAGAGCGTAATATCAGTTCTCTCTCTCACCGTTGGGGTATCTGTGGCAGAACCTCCTAAGGAATCGGGCCCACATGCACCTATCGTCGTCTTAACAGACCTCGAATAGCGTACACGAGTTCCCAACAACTTAACAGGTCTGTCGGGTGTCCTCGGAAAACCCGAATCATCCACGATTCTCTTTTCAAACAGGATCCCAATCACAGTCATTGCAGATTACAACAGTTTATTCAAATATATACCAGAGTAAATGATAGCGGAAGTCTTAAGATAACATAATTACAAACCAGTTGTTTTCAAACTTACAATACCATAAGTGTTATACAACCATAGTAGCGGGATAATATTACATTAACTTTATTTATCATACAAACTAGTGCCTGGTCCAAAGACCATTCATCACTCCTCATCGTCATTGACTTCAAACACAGACATGCAGCAGGGACCAAAACAAGCCTGCGCATGCGTCTCACCTGCAACAAGGGTTAACAAACCCTGAGTACAAAAGTACTCAACAAGACTGACCCGACCAAAAAGGGCGAAGGTCTTAGGGATGGAGGTGTTGGGTCAAGGTAAGGATGTAGAAAGATTCAAAAATTCTTTGCTAAAAGCTTCCTATTCTTGATCCTAGTTTCAAGTTTTACCTCCAAGTATTTTAGTCCAATATCTCCAACTAAGTGTTCATATCCCATGTTCCAATCCTGCTCATTCCATTCTTTTTCTCATGTTTTAGTAATTCACCGGTCCTACATTGCTTCATAATGAATCGAGTCTCCATGTCCATGAGCACCGCAATTCAATTGATTCAAGTCCCAATGGGATTCCTTATCACACGACATATGTAGAACTTAATCTTGCATATATCAACTCGCTCTCGGATCCTCCCGTACTAAGCCGTCTCCACGCCACCCGAGAGCACAGCACACCTCAAATCCGGCCACATTCAAGCCACGAGGATACACGCTACTCCCACCATCTCACCACTCCCGGTCATGTGGGCATTCGCCTCTTAGTATCGGATTAGCCAAGTAGGCTTACTGGAGTATGTGACTAGTACTACAAAGTGTCTCGTTCAGAAGATCCACAATGAGTGGCCTTTAAGCGACATAGTCGGCAACATTACCCAACATTCAAGATAAGCCACCCAACCAGTCTCTAGTTCATTCTACCTTCCTTCTTTCTTTCTTTGGCCAGTATGCCATCTTTGATTATATCGAAACTTTTACTTTGAAAATCCTACCATAAAGCATACTAAGCAATTCTACGCCATTGTAAATGAAATCATCTTCAAGGATGGTAAACAATTAACAAGGTAGGCAATGCATCAAGTAGGTAACATTTGAATAAACAACTTAATGCGATAAGTAACATAAGTGATAAACTTTTCAAAGTAAACAAGGTAATGGTGTAATGCATAAACCGGGGCTTGCCTTCGATGACGATTCCCGGTTCCGGATTAGTACCACAATTATCAAATCCCGCGACAACCGGAGATTCTTCCAGAACTTGCTCAACTAGAATCATTTCGTTCTCGGGTTCTACACGAAATGATAACATATGCTTTAACATGATGATAATGTAAACATGATGCTTTCACGGTACATGAAATGTAAAAACACCCGCAAATGATTTTATTTCACGGTACAGTTGCAAGCCAACAAAACCAACTTGCAATCCTACCATTAAGAACCATACATGTGACTTGACCAAATGGATCTTGGGACCCTACTAGTCACACTACACGACCCAAATCAAGATCAAACCCTAAACCTACACTTAGGGTTTACCTTTATTTATTTTTGAATTAATTTAGAATTAAGCTCAAAATGAACTTGCTCCAAATGATCTCAAAAATTTACACAAGCATCCTCATGATAAATTAGTGTACCAAAATAAATTTCATAATTTTTGGAGTTATACAGTGGCCTACAAAAATCATGGAAATTGCATTTATTAATTAATTGACTGAATTTTTGAACATTAAAAATTTATCCAAATTTCAAATTTCAAATTTTTAAATCATACTAGAACATGTACAGAAGCTACACAAAAATTTTCAGAATTTTTGGAGCTATGATTATTTTTCTACAAATTTCCAAAGATTCAGTACTATTCACAAATTCAGAAAATAAAAATTTTCACTGTTCTTCTTCCTCACTCGCACTGACAACCTGGGCCCGCTGTCAGCGACACAGAGACAGGGCACGACGGCGCTGTTGCCAGCTCCGGCCAGCAAAACGCGTCGGCGGTGCTTCTCCGGTGAGACGGACTGTACCACCATGCTCTACACCACGTCGCGAATCTAACCCAATCCTCAGAACGACAGAAGACTCACGGGAGCGAGCTCCACGCCGGCCATGGCGGCTCGGGCACGGCGGCGCACGACGTAACCACGGCGACGATGCAGTAGAGAATAAAGCGAAGTGATAAACACGTTCAGGAGCTCACTATGATCACGATGGTGGACTCGGTGAAGACGGAGATGGTCTGGAGCAGCCTGGCCACGGGGAGGGCAGTCGTGGCGGAGCTCCGACCGGTCTCGGGGAAGACGGGTTGTGCCGGGCGATTTTGGCCAACACCAGCGATGAAAGCAAATCGAGGAGGAGCGTAAGACCGAGGCGATCACGTTGACGTAGCTGGGAACGACTGACGCGGCTCGATGATGCCTACGGTGAGCGGCGGAGCTACGCGGTGGCGGAGCAGAGCAGAGGGGAAGAATGGGAACGACGGCGGCGACTGTAGCTATTTATAGCCCGGAAGAAGGCGTCCGGCGTCGCCAGCGCACGGGCGGGTTCGCCACGGTGACATCGGCGTGTCACCGCGCTAGCAAGCGGTGAAAAACCGATCGGCGGCGGCAGCTCGGTGGCGAGCAGGGAGGTGATGACCTGTTCCGGTTGATTTTTGAATAAATTACAGAACTGCCACTGAGACTATTTTTCGAATTACTCACAAATTTTCTAAAGAAGTTGAAAATCTCCAAAAATGAAAGTTGTTCAATTTTTCAAACTCTACAACTTTGCTTCTAGAAACATTTTCAAATTCTGCCTCCATTTTGAAATTTGAATTTGGGGTGCATTAGAGCATTTGAATCATTTCAAAATTACTCCAAATTTTATATGTAAACTTGAAAAACTTTGAATACCAAAGTTGATCCTTATAAAATAAGCTCCAACTTTGCTTTTTGTAAAAACTCCAAATTCCAAATGGATTTTGAATTAGTAAAAAGGGGCAAAAATGACTTATGTAATTTGAATATGAATTCAAATTTGATTTGTCTTCCTTTCACTTAGATTTTGATTTTTGACCAGTAACATGGCCCATTAGGATTATTTGAGTCAAAGGACATATGACCTCACATGATCACATGAAATTTAACCCTTGTGGTCATGATCTGTATTTAGAGTTTTTGAAACACATCACATGAAATAACAACTTATGAAACAAATCTTATTTAGTGAACGCATTCCAAATTTTCTTCTTTATGAATGCTTTGCAATGCATATGATGACATGTCAAATTTTAGTATTAGGTCAAAACACCAGAGGTGTTACAACCCTTCCCCCTTAAAGAAATCTCGTCCCGAGATTTAAAACTTAAGGCTAAGTAATGAAAAAGGAAATGTGTCAAGCTAACACATCATAACTTTATTCAAAAGACTAGTGAGGGGGTTTTCCATTCTTTTGACAAAATAAACAAGTCATAGTATAGACGAGGTATTGCAACTAGAGAGAAGCAATAAAGTCAGGAAAGTTTTCTTCTAAGTAATTCTCAGACTCCCAAGTAGCTTCTTCTTCAGTGTGCTGGTTCCATTGTACTTTGTAGAACTTGATTGTACGCCTTCGAGTGACTCGATCCTTCTGATCTAAGACTCTAATGGGGTACTCGACATAAGTCAAATCAGGTGCTAGTTCTACATCACCAAAGTCAATCACTTGGTCAGGTACTTGAAGACACTTCTTCAACTAGGATACATGGAAGATATCATGCACCGCTGACATGTGATCTAGTAGCTTAACACGATAGGCGACTGGTCCACATCTTTGTTGGATTTGAAACGGACCGACATAACGGGGCACCAACTTTCCCCGAATCCCAAAACGATGAACTCC